TTCTTATTTTTACAGGCCCAGTCTATGTATGAAGGTACTTTGTCCATGTTAAGCAATAGGGTAATCCAAACTGTCTGAGAAGAAAAGTTCCACAATATAACCCTATGCCCACATTAAAGGATGTAGAATTTAAAGCATTTTGAGACAGTGATATTAGAATTGAAAGGCTCCTTAGGGACATTTTCCTGGAGTTCATCAGTTTACCCAGGAGAAATATAAATATCCACAAAATTTGGAGCTAATTAGTAAGTATCCGAAATAACATTAGATCCTAGATGTTGTGTTAATACAAGTCAAGATTGTATTATTGTTAAATCAGAATCCTTCACTCCTTGACAATGTGTATGAGAAAGTGAAAGAAAGACATTAAATCAAAATGTCTTATTTTTTAATCATTTAATCCTAGTGGTGAGAGTAATGTCTGAACTTTTCCATTCAATAAAAGCTTGAAGTTTATAAGAACATTTTCCTACATATAAGAATTTGTGTCAGGTTTGTTCACACAGCATGGAGATATACCTAACAAGAATTAGATTTCAATAGTGTATATGGAAGTTATGATGTGTCAATGGCTATTGAGGCATTTTCTGTTTTAAAGAGGAATCAATTCCAGGAGTCTTCAGTCACATCAGTAAAGCTGTATGTTCAACCTAATACTTGGTTTTACTTGTCCTACATTTATAATGAGTAGGCTGATAAGATATCCAAACATATCTAAATATTTTTCAATAAAATCCCAAACTGATATGGATAGATGGGTCACTAATTGGAACTGTAGGACAAATTAGGCTTGTTTGTGCTGTAGTTCAATCTATAATCTCCTGGCTAAATAAAGTTTTCAAAAATATTCACAGAATATCACTAAGAAAAGTTCATGATATTTATATCTGTGTAACATTTCTAAGGTCAGGATTTAAGCATTTGTTCCCAACATTTAGAATCAATAGGATGTGTTAAATAAATGGATCCAGAATTTTATGTATTCACATTCATATCTCAACAATTTATCAATATGACTTTCACCAAAACACAGTTCTTACTGAACTTGTCTATGTCCTTTTACTTTTCAAGTCCAAACAGTAGATTTCCTTCAATATATTCCTGAAAATTCTTTCCTTCCCTTTCTTCTGTAAATCTGTGTTTATTACTTTTTTGTTTCCTTATTTATCGCTTTCCTCCCATCTTGTCCACACTGGTACTCACATTGTTCACACATTCGTCAGAACTTTCCTTTTCCTCTTCCCTTTAATAATGTCCCTGATTTTATTATTATTTTCCATATTCATGGTCGTGAATATTTTGATGATGTCCAAACAGACCTATCTTTGCATCTCTTTAACATAAACCTTAGAACTATCAGTGAGTTTTTTTTCCTCTAAATCCATCTTTTCCACCTGTAGTCCTTATCACCAAGAATGTAACTAACACAGTTAGGAGACAGAGATGTGGAAAAGCTTTAGATTTACTCTTACCCTACCTCGATCCATTAGATAAGATGAATGATTAAGATTTTCTCAGTTTCTGTCACTAATGTAATTTCTATGTACTCCTTTTTATGCCCCTGACACCAGCCTATTGCAAATACTCATCACCAGTCACTGAGTCCTAAAACAATTGTTTACAAAGTATGCATTTCCCCCAGTCTTTTTTATATTGGTCCTCTCCATCACCAAATGACTCTCCTTGTAAGCACACAGAGTGAAGAACTCAGACAAAAATTCTGCTACCATTATTTACTAACAGCATTGACTATTGGTCTTACATTTCTCATCTGTAAATGGATATAATCTACCAGAAATATTGAAGAATATATTTTTTGACTTCTAGAGCAAGGCAAAAGAAAGTAAACAGTCCTTACATTTCCTGCCTTAGCTTACAAATAAGGAAAGAGTCAAATTCAGTTTGTTGGTATAAAGTCAGAAATAGTTTCATGCAGAAATAAAAATAAATTTTAACTCCTGCAGCTTGTGTCCTTTTATGGTAACTGCAGATATGTAAGTAATATTATGTAAAATTTGTCATGTATTTACAGCTGTAATGAAGAACATACTCTTAATATATCATTGGGAAAGTATCTATCTGAGAATGTTATTTGAACTAATCACACTAAGTTGAAATCTGCATCGTAGCCAATCAAAATATGTAAATAAATGATTTATTTATAAGTAAATAATACCACCAAGAACAGTGAGTACACCTTAGAAAGACTGCTGGAATAACATTAGGGTTTTTACTGTCTCCACCTGTTTATTTGATTGTATTTCTTGATATTCAAACTCTTCTCTTTTTATTCTGGTTTTGTTTTGTTTTGTTTTTGGTTCGTCATGGGTCCTGGACTCTGGTCCTGGCACTGTCCCTCAGCTCTTCAGCTCAAGGCAAGCCCTCTACCACTTGAGCCACAGTGCCACTTCCCGCTTTTTCTGCTTATGTGGTGCTGAGGAATCAAACCCAGAGCATCATGTAGGCAAGGCCAGCACTCTGCCACTGAACCACCTTCCTAGCCTTCCTCTTGTTATTGTTATTGTATGTAATCCAACGCTGTTTATAACTATGCATTCAACGTGGGAAAATTAGCTTCCAAGATATCTAAAGTTTTTTTTTCTTTTCAATCACATCATCATTATCAGGCTACACTGTGGTCATCATCCTCTCCACCCAAATTATTATTAGCATCATAAGTGCTAACTATTGAACGTCGGATATGTGTCTATGATTTTACTATTATTTGTCTTTAGATTAATAATTTTAATGTTACCACTGTGCATGCATCCATATTGAAATTTGGAACAAATAAACAAAAAAACCCTAAACCATATCAGGTAGCTTGACTATGTGCTTATAACAAATTATGGAATAGATTTTTTGAAGCATTGCAAATTCCTAATCAGTATGAATTAACTTCCTCTCTCTCCTGAACTACAAACAAATATTAAAGAGTTTGGGCAGAACCTTTTCAAGTAATATACTCTAAATGTTACTACAATATCATGTGTATATCTAAAATTCCCTTGAAAGTAATAAAATCTACTTTATAGGAAACATTTAGAAAAATTGACTGTACCTTTGAAATGAAAAATGTCAAAAATAGTAACATAAAAGTTAAATAGTAACATAAAAGTTTTAGAGGGAGTCTGTCATATATATATATATATATATATATATATATGTTATGTGTAGAATAGTACATATTTAGAGATTATTTGTCATCAGAAATATATACATATATCTAAATTTATTTGCAGAATGATATACATCATAGTGAAAATTAAAAAAAAACTTCATGAAACCAAGTGCCGGGTAACTTCACCCTTATAATACAAGGTATTCTGGGTGCTGAGATCTTAGAATTGTTTTCGAAACTAGCCAAGACAGAAAAGTACTTGTTAGATTCTTATCTCCAATTAACCAGTAAAAACAGGAATTAGCTCTTTTCCTCAAGTTCTAGAGTGATGTCTTTGAGCATAAAAAGGCTTAGGGACAATGCCCAGGCCTTGCAAACAACACCCAGAACAACTAATTGTATCACATGAATTTCACATAAGCATCTTTTAACTGCTGTGAACATTTCTTAGAAACATGAATACATACCCCTGGAAAATGTTAAGTTAAAAAGTATAGAATATTTACGTCTATGTTAAAGACATAACTATTTAGATTGGTTAAGATATTTAGGTAATGATTAGAATTTAAGAATAATGATAGGTAGGTCATATTTATAATGATTATATAAAATTATATATATTTATAATGATTATATAAAATTACTCTTGCTTGCTATTTGAATTATCCTAAGTGATAAATATTTTAAGTGATTTCCAAAGCAAAGGAGTATTAATTCTTTTGTAATTTCAAAACAATTAACAAAATGATTTCAAGGCTGCTTCTCTCTAAGTCTATATTTGTTTTCTTGTTCTAGTTTTCATATGTTAGTAGAAATTAAAATTCCAAAAATTTAATGGATATTGGCATTCAGGAACATCTTCACATACACTAATATTGGAGTTCCTTAAGTGGGATTGTTTTATTTCATTTGTTACTTTCAAAAATATATCAAGATGACTGTCTATTTTGTTCTTTTCACTGCTTTTGGCTCTTATCTTGAGAATACGTTTTTCCTAGCAAGGTAGAGATAAGCAATTGGATTAAACAAGTAACATATGACTTTCATAAAATGCAGATGCATAGATTTGTGTCTACTGTCATTTCTAAAAGTTTCTTCCAGAAAAGTTTCTCAATTACTTAGAAGTTTTTCCCCTTCCCCTCCACAAATTATACAGACATCAAATACAGTGAAAGCAGGGGTTATAGTGTGAGGGAGGGACATACAAAGCAACAAAAAATAATCATATAAATGTGTTAGAAACAATCACATGAAAGAAAAAAAACATTTGAATACATAACTTAGGGTTCATTTCCCTACCATCACCTTATCTGACCTTTTCTGCTTGACTCAGATATATACTACATATTGCAAATGAGGGAAACCATGGGGAAAAATAGGTATACAGGTGGACCTATTGCAACAATGAGATGTACAAGTCCTTATGTCAAAATATGAACTTTACAACTTTGGTGGGATGGGGGTAATGGGGAGGATTGGGTGGGGTGGTGGGGGAGGATGGGAAGGGATGGGAAGGGGAAACAAAGGAGGAGGCTACAATGCTTGATAAGAAATGTACTCATTATCTTGCCCATGTAATTGTAATCCCTCTGTACAGTATTTTCACAATAAAAAAATTAAAAATAAAATAAATTTCTTAGAAGTGATGCATAATTCCTAGGTATCCTAGTTATCACATATACTTTTGGATTGAGTTATCTCAGTATAACCTCAAACGGAAAAAATACCCTCAAAATAAACAGAAATCACATCTTTGTTTTAAATACAGTAGTTTACAAAGAGTTTTTAGCCAACACCAAAAACATCTTTTTAGCTATTCTGCATTTTGTGTTTAGAAGTTTTAACAATAGTTTTTTTCCTGATATGCAATTCACTTACAATATATTATTTCCTTTTATTGTATACATATTAGTCCTTTGGAAGTGAATTGTACTTTCATAGGTTTCCAAAGCCTAATTTACACAAACTTGCATTTCTTCAAATAGAAATGCTCTAAATTTTAGAACAGACATTAAAATAGATATAAAATTCAGGTAAAGGAATTTGCCCAGCATACATCCTCTATAGTGTGTCTTTTCAAAATTTGTTTTTGGGGATCATTACCAGGGTCTCACACATACTATTCAAGTTCACTGTCAATTAACTACATTCTCTGTACAAAAAAGTTTTTTACTTCTGTTTAATACATTCATAGAAGTGTAATGTCTGGATCCTATACAATTCTCTTTCATTTTTTGAAGACTTGAAAACTTGTTTGCTAAAGTGATTGCAGTATTATACAAATCGATCACTATGAGAAGTATATCAATTTATCCACAAATACATTACTATATTTTGCGTCCTTTTTATATTATGGTCATACTAGTGAGTTTTCTTTTTATTATTTCTTAGACAGTAAAGAGAATCTTATTTCATATGCTCCTCCTATTGACTATTAATTTACATGTTATTTAAAGAAATATTCTATTCAGGAAAAAGTTTATATACAATTAGAAGACATAAAATACTTAAGTTTAAGAATCATTGTAGCATTAACATTGTAGCATGAACAAATATGTGCACTCTATCTGTTGGATATGCTTTCATTTCTGTTATAGTGTCCCTTGAATTATGAAAGGTTATCACTTGATATAATCCAGTTCTTGCTTTTCTTTAGCCGTTAATGTTTTCCATATCAAATGTTTAGAAACCTTTACTGATCAATATCATGAAATTTTACATTTATGTTTTATTGGTTTTTAAATCTCACATTTAGTTTGATAATCATTCTTTATAAGGTTTGAGGTAAGCCAGGTGCCGGTGGCTCATGCCTATAATACTAGCTACTGAGGAGGCTGAGATCTGAGGATCATGGTTTGAAGGCGGTCCGGGCACGAAAGTCCATGAGACTCTTATCTCCAATAAACCACTAGAAAACAGGAAGTTTTGTTGTTGCTCAAGAGGTAGAGTGCTCACCTTGAGCTGAAGAGCACATGGACAGTGCCCAAGCCCAGAGTTCAAACCCCATGACCGACATACAAACAAAAACAAAGTATTGAGGTAGTAGTCTAAGATCATTCTTGAAATCTAGAGAGACAATAGTGCCAATAAAACCATTTAAGATTCTGTTTTTATTTCATAAAGTCATAGCATCCTTTTCAAAATCTGTGGAGCATAAAACTAAGAAATTATTTTTGACAAATCTGTTACCTTCTTCTTTGTGTCTGTTCTTAAAGTAGAACTATGTTGTCTTCACTACTAAACATGGTAATACTATTCAAAGCTAGTATTAAGGCTCAAGCTACACCATTTTACAAGATTGCTCTGACTGACCTGTGTTCTTTGAATTTACACACGAGATTATTGAGCAGGTGGACCAATATTCTACAGAGCTATCTAAAAATATGATAGTCACTCATATTTTACAACTTGTGAAAATACAAACCCATCATATTATATATAGAGAATATCTTTAGAGACTGCTCAATGCAACTAAAATTAGTTTAGGAATGAGTTAAGATTTACATAACAGTACAGCATAATAAAGCTGAATGATAACGACTTGAGATGTACTGCAGAAGAGAGTGAGAGGGGGAAGAATGGTGGACCACATAGGAGCTGTATGTCATTGGTATTGTTTCAAAAAACAGAAAGACTTCAGAAAAGAGAAGGAGAAAAATAAGGTGTCCTGAATCTAGTTTCTTTTTAATCCACCTGATAGTTTGGACTGAAAGTCAGATAACATGGGAAAAAATAGAAAATAAAGCATTGTATAGATCTGTTACAATGTAAAGAAGTTGTAATAGGAATATAAATATTTTTAAAAAATAAGAGAAAGAATAACAATAACAAGTGCTAACGTGGATAGAAGATGGATCACATTTTATCATATGTAATTTTGAAAAAACTTACTAGGAATGAAAATTTAAAAGTCATAATTTAAAATACAATTTGTATTATAACTAGATAGTATAGCTCAGTGGTAAAACATTGGCCTAACATATGTGAAGCAATTGTGTGATCTCCCAAGCATTAGAAAGTACACACAAAGCACACACAAAAATAAACCAAATAAACACACACACCCCCCACATACACACATTTGTTATTATCATATTAAACAGAGGAAATGATCACAAATAGTAAAAAGTATTTTAATATATGAAATCACAATATTGCTCAAACTATTTAAACGTTTAGTAGAAATAAAATAGTCACAAGATACTTGGATTCTTATAGATTAAGTAAATTGAAAATTCAGAAATAAAAGACATGAGAAATTTGCAAGCAAGTTTTAAATAATAAACATTTTGAAATATGTGTCCTTTTATTTTGACACAAGATTGATGTTACTGGTGTTTTAACTCAAGATTTAGAATATGATAACCAGGTGCTCTATATCTTGCTAGGGATGACTATATCTCTAATCACTTCACTCTGGAAATTTTATGATAAGGTCTCATAGTTTCTCCGTCTCTCCTGAATTACAGACCCTATTTATACTTACCAGTGTAGTGAGAAAAATGGAAAGCACAAATCACTATGACCAGCTCAAACATTTTTTTTAATTCAAGTACAAATATTTCCAAATAATGACCAGGTAATAAAGCCTTTTTAAATAAAGTATGTGCTTCTTGAAAATACACTATTTGTTAAATGGGCAAATATGTTTACTACTAAAGAAAATAAATTTATTTAAATTCACCAACCATATAAAATTTAAGAAAATAATTTTTAAATATTCACATGTTAACTATTTTGAAAGCAAACTATATGTCTGAATAATTTATATGTGTTAAAATTATGCAAAACTAAATTAACTAATCCTACAACTCTGAAAAAAGAATTACCCTAAAGAAACAATAGAAAATAATTATGTTCAAAATTTGAAATTTACAAAATAAAATGAAGTGTACTCTATAGTTGACTTAAGCACCTGTAAACCCTCTGTATATCAATTTTATAATAAAAAATGCATGAACAAAGAAAGAACAGTACCCACTGGTCAATAGCAACAGGAAAAACATCAGTAGGTTTTTTGTTGAGTGTGCAAAAAAATCAGTGGAAGAGATAACAATGTTTCTTCCATAATAAATGTACTCATTACCTTACTTATGTAACTGTATCCCTTCTGTACATTACCTTTACAATAAAATTAAATTGAAATTGAAAATAAACTAAATAACATACCAATTAAGAATTTGTAGAGAGCATGGAAGGTGGCTCAGTGGTGGAGTGCTTGCCTTGCATGCTTGAGGCCCTATGTTCGATTCCTCAGCAAACATAAACAGAAAAAAAGCTGGAAGTGGTGCTGTGGCTCAAGTGGTCAAGTGCTAGCCTTGAACTAGCCTTGAGGAACAGCGTCCAGGCCCAGAGTTCAGGTTCCAGGACAGGACCCCCCCAAAAATAAACGTAATTACTAGAAGCCATTGGTTAAAAACTTTTTAGAAAACTACCCTAAGTACCCAAGTAATATAATTTGATGATACTATCTAAATACTTCAACTTCAGCAGAGAAGCCAAAAGTTTAAAAACTGTTACCAAGTAAAGTAATAAATCAGAATATATTACTATTAATAATAATCATAAGATGAATTTATAGTGGTAGTCAAATTTGTAAGAAATGAGGCAATTTGTCATTCGTTTGCACTTAATAAGTGAGAAAGAATTTTCTAGGTCTTTTAAAATATATAATAAGTTTAATGAAGAAACTATTCTTTCACATGATATGATAATCAGAAGAAGCTGATATTAGAACAAAGAGCAGATTGTACTATTTTGGATGTTAATGTATATACTTAGTTTGGTTGTGGGAAATTGTGTTCAAATTGGGGTATTGTTTTTGTTAGACTGGTGTCATATCAGTGGTTAATTTTAGGATAGAGGTTCCCTTTCCACAAGAACATGCACCTGATCTGTCTTTTTAGACTTCCCATTATCAATGGCATACGAGTTGCACAGCAACTTGTCTAGCTTCCTACCTTGACTGGATTGGATTCTGCAGTCCTTCCAATCTTAACCTGTAGATAGTGCAGGATGGTGGAAATGATCCAATGCACCCAGCTATAGATTGAGAAAAAAGTCCACTAAACTTTCTGTTCTCAAGCCTCCTCAGTAGTTAAGAGCTCAGATGGGAGCCCTTGGTACCAAGCAGTAAGAGCATTTCTTAAAGCAACTAGACATATGTATGACTTATGCATGTGAACACCTCAGGACAAGAATAAAAGAGCAGTGAAGCATAGAGGACAGGACCAATTTTAACTAGCTACTTGGAGGCTGAATAAGCTTAGCTAGCTACTCTGGAGGCTGAGATATGAAGACCACTATTCAAAGCCAGTCCAATCATGAAAATAAATGCGATTATCTCCAAAAAACAGAAGTGGAACAATGGCTCAAGTGGTAAATCAATATCCTAGGTCACAGAAGCATAGAGATGATGAATGAATGAGCACTTGCACATGCGCACGTGTGTATACATGTGCATGTGTACACAAACACACACACAAACATAAGTATTGCAATGCGAAGTTCTTTTTTTACCTTGCAGTACTCTATTTCCCTGTATTAGTTTACACATTAACAAAATCAGCTAAGCACCTATTTACCTACAACTCATCATGTTTCTCTAAAGTCAACTCTCTTTTTGGAAACATGATTTGTTTGACCCAAATGTAAACTATTCAGGAGTTTGATTCTTCTCCCTCAATTCTGTAGAATTAGATGATTGTTTAGCTTCATCCTAGCAATATAATTTGAGAAATCCTACATCAAGCAAATTATTTCTTTCACTAGAAGGGAAGCCTCTTTCAAACAATTAATTATAGGTTTTCCTTCTTCTTGCTAGCATCTGTAGTTTTATTATCTTCATATATTTCATGATCTGTCTGTGTATGACAAAGATTGCTGGGAAAA